GCTCCTTTCGATGTGAAAATTAAGCAATATAACACAAGCAATCATAAATACTGAGTAACTTACATTTAAGAGACAACATTAGTCACTGTTTGTCTACTTTTGCCAAAGAAAATAACAGAAGCGGTAGATTTAACCACTGCACGTCTCCAAGCAGCAGTAGCTGCTGTCCTAATGAGTTGGTTCAAAAACACTGATTCAATCCAGTGAATGATTCAATGACTCACTCATAAAGACAGTGGCGTGTTTCGCTTCTTTGAGGTTTTGGCCAATTATTTTGTACATAAATGCAGATTTTACATCCTTGTATAACATTCTTCTGTCTTTTTCGTTTTTGTCTATAATTAATAATTAATTGATTTATTGATTTGTTTATTTATTTATTTTTAATAGTTATGTTTTTGCAGTTTGGAATTGTATTATGCTTTGTGTTTATTGAGGAGTGTTTCCTATTTCATTCAAGCAATAATAAAATAATAATAATTCGTCCTTCGGATGAGACGTTAAACCGAGGTCCTGACTCTCTGTGGTCATTAAAAATCCCAGGATATCTTTCGAAAAGAGTAGAGGTGTGACCTCGGCATCCTGGTCAAATTTGCCCATTGGCCTCTGACCATCATGGCCTCCTAACAATCCCCATATCTGCTGATTGGCTTCATCACTCTGTCTCCTCTCCACCAATAAGCTGGTGTGTGGTGGGCGTTCTGGCGCACTATGTTCTGCCGTCGCATCATCCAGGTGGATGCTGCACACTGGTGGTGGATGAGGAGATACCCCCTGACAATGTAAAGCGCTTTGAGTGCCTAGAAAAGCACTATATAAATGTAATGAATTATTATTATTATTATTAAAACTTGTTTTTTTCTCTCTCTCTCTAATCTGTGTTTGAACGAATCGGTTGAATGAATGACTCTTTATGAATCGCTCATAAAGAGTCACTTGCCGCCACCTACTGGCGTACTGATGTGACCTATAGAAAGTTCTCACTGCTACAAATATAAAAGGAGTGATAGGACACCAAAATCCGAGGACCGGAACTAACTATTAAATAAATCAACAGAGCTAATCAATGAAGTGTGACACCTTTGAAAATTATACCTGAATAGTTATAATAGTTTTGTCACGTTGCGGTCCTCTCAGTGTAGTCGGGGTGTTATTTCCTCCCCTCATTTTCCTGAGGCAGCAGATGCCGTATGATGTCTTTCAGCTTCAGATAAAAACAAACAGGCCTTTCAAGTGATAGCTGCCCAGTTAAATATTGTGTCAGGTTTGTTTGCATGACAGGACTAGGCTATACCGCGTCGTCTTGTGCATGGCTTTCAAGCAGCAGGCTTTGATCAAAGACAGGTGTGTCTGTGTTCAAGAGAGCTCGGCTAGTCATATCGAGCCTTTATTAGTATAAACCAGTGTTTGATCTTCATTTAGACCCGTTGAGGTTAAACAAAGCTGGCAGCTTTTATGTTTTTTCGTTGTTAAATACAAACTACAGTTTCTATGTTCTTGTTTTGTTCTTAATAACTGTTCAGCATTTACTCACCTAAAATGCGTCGGTGGCCCTATCGCAAAATAAATGACGAAACGAAATGCTCTTGTTGACATCGCTGTTTTGTTAAGTCTACATCCGGTGCGCCATTTGGACAGGACCAGTGTGTTCACTTGTATTCCTTTTACGTATTTTAATTGTGTATGAGTATAACTTACTGGTTTTACTTTGTGGTCGTATGCGTGTTTCACTCTGGTTTCAAAAAGGGGTTTCAAAGAACCATTTTGGGTTCCCCAAAGAATCTTACAGTGAACAGTTTTTCTTAATGTTTAGAACATTTTAATAATAATGAATCCTAATCTCATGAATCACTAAAGTGGAAAAGGAACGTCAATGCAATGTTTCAATGGATGTTAAAGGTTCTTCATGGAACCATAAAGAATGTTTTTTTTTTTTACAGTGTATCTGTTTGAACACTTTTTCATGCTCTGTACTTTGTGTGTGTGTGTGTGTGTGTTTCTGTTTGGGACGGTCTGTCTTATCGTCTCAGTGTTGTCCAGCTGCAGTATCAGTGATGTGTTGTGCCGCCCACCTGCCTCTGGCTGTGCCGCTAAGCCCTTTCTGGAGTCCTGATGGACAACCCTGTGATAAGAGCAGCAACATGATCTCTGTGTTTGCTTTTGATGTGACCCACAACAAAGAGGTGGACAGATTCTTGTGCTTTACAGGGCAAGAGAAATGAAACAGCCACAGTCTATTGTGCAGAATGACATAGCTGAGTTCATTGAGTTTTTCTCTTTATTGACATTGGCACGGATCATATGCTCACATTCTTTCCCATAAATCCCTTAACATGTTTGGAAATTAATTGTGGTAGGGTGGTATTTGTTCTCTACACATGCAGTTGCAGTGAGCATTGAGAACATTTCTAAAATTATTATTACATAGTTCCATAAACTGTATTTAACACCTTTAAATTCCATGGTGCTTGTTCCAAGTATGTCCACCTAAATGTGGACAAATTGAGTAAATGGTTGTCCTTCATATGAAGAGCTTTTTCCTCTACTAACAGCTGGGGAGGTATAGTCAGCATTTGTTCAGAGATTTCTCTGTTGGCAGCAGTGCCTCGGCTGAAAGCAGGATTCTGTCATGAATGAGAATATTAGACAGATAGGGACCCCGGGGGTGTATAATTTCGCTAGCTCTTGCCTGGGGTTATTAAATATTAGCCTGAGGTGCTGAAGGGCGTTGCTGACGGGGGCTATCATCAGCTCTCCCTATCATCAGGATTTTGCACTTCTTCCAAACGCTTGCACTTCTGAGATTTAGTAGATGGCGCCCTCTTCTGTCCTTACATAGTGATCAGATTAACTGAAAAGTGAATTTCAGATACTTTGAGAAAGCCAAGATATACATTTATATAATTAAGAATTCATGATATATCCATATCATATTGGTTATTGCCTGACATTTTTATATATTGGTATCTATATTGGATATTCACTTGTGCATGTTCATTTCCCCTATTTAAACATTTCATCTAACACTTACTAAAATTAACTTTAAAATAACTGATAATGTAATAATAACAAATGTAATCCAAAACACATCTGAAATATAGATGTATTAATACTGTGCTGTATGTTTTTAACATGTTATGTTTTAATATATAATTTGATAAATTTTTCAATGTATAAAATAATTTTATATAGTAATAATTTTCTAATTGTAATATGAATACCCGTATACAAGTATCCCTATATATGAGATCAGATATTTATGAACATATGTGATGTGAAGCATGCAGCTGGACTGTGTCACCCCAGTTTTAGACAAACTTTGCTTTTATAGAGTGCATTTTGTATAACTGACCACAAGGTGGTGGGAGAGTGCAAGGAAGGAGTGACTTACGCAAGGCAGCTAAAATAATCCATTAGGACAGTGATACTAAACAGCCTTGATTTAACTGCTATATCTAGTCATCTGGCTTCATTGAAGAATGTTCTGATAACGAGTTTGCTGTAAATCTGGGACGTAACTCACATATCATTGCCTTGACTCAGTAAGTACTTCCTCCACAACAGTTGTCTCTCAACTGTTGCCATACTGTGTTGCTGATTCATATCTGTAATTAGGTAAACTTTTCAAATGGAACTGACTGAGGTGTAATTTATAAAAAATAGATGCTTAATAAAGAGAGCCATTAAATTATGGTTGGTTATTATGATAAGCAGATCATTTCATTGCCCTTTAGAAGAAGTGTACTAGATTGATAGACAGAGGAGGAGAAAGAAGGAATATTTTTCTGTTCAGAGACATTGCTTTTCGCAGTAACTGTGTAAGGTTGCTGCAAGAGATGAATATTCATAACCCTCTCCTGCATATTCATTAGACAGGTGCTGCTCTGACTGCAGTACTGTCAGTTCTAGCAGTGTGACGCTGCACTGTGGGCAATTCCTCTGAGTCTCACAGGTTCGCTGTGTCCTATAGTTGTTGGAGCATGTTTTGTTATCACACTATGTGCATTGTAAGTTACAATTTGTAACATACCATATTTTCAAAGTCAAAGATAATACTCTCAATATGAGTAGTAAGTGATTGTATTGTATTGTTTTGTTTTTTGTGCCATAATGTGCACTATGCCACATGCCAGTTATTTGTATCAAATACAATTAAACACTCTGCAAACATCTTCAAGACTTTATAATATAATTAATTCAAAGTATTATAATTCAAATGTAGTATAATTCAAAGGTACTTCGGAGCGTATTAAAGTTTATCTGTCCTGCCAGCTGTTATGATCAGACAGGCCTTCTGTCATTCTGCAGAGTTACAGATGGGAGACCAGCATGGGGTCAGTACCAAGAAGACAAAGACCACTACCATTTAACTTACACAGAAAAACATGAACAGTGTGTTTCTGTGCAAGTTAATCTAGCTGTCTAAGAAACCTGGCATTATTTATTACGAAAACTGTTGGCTCTGTGACAAACTGCTTTTGTTCCTCCTCTTTTCTAAGTCGCTTTGGATAAAAGCGTAACTGTTAATGTAAACAGGATTTGAGACATTTCATATTTGGATTGCATTCTGTTATATTGCATCATATCTTCTGTATCATCAGGCAGAATGAATGTAAACTACTACTCGTGTAACCTCCGTTTCTGCCAAGACAGAGTAATTTGCTTTCAGTAAGTTGTTCCAAACATCAAAAACATGTGCAGAGGGTTAGGGAAAATGTAATTCATTTTATATGGTTTTTAAAAATTATTTTCAAAAGTGTAGAAAACCATCTGGGCCAAATATTATTAAATTATTATATTTTTTTAAATGCAATTTTTCATTGCATTTATCTTGGTTAATTTCTGGTGATTGTTTTCTTTTTGAACTATTTCAGTGCTAAGTAGGTTAAATGGAGGAGCTGAGGAGAGAATTGTAGCCTGTCTGGGAATAGCAGAACTATACTTGGCTCATGCGGTCTAAAAATTCCACCTTCTGAAGTGATATGTGGACGCAGGCGTTTGTTTCTATTGGTGCTTTAGTCTGTCATTCGTCTTCTGTAGCCCTGAGGTTGGCTAATTGCACAGACATGATGGGATAATCCCGGTTAACAGAAGCTGATGTCAGATTGGTTTGGCTCACCACAAATCCTAGTTGAGGTAGGCAATGCAAGACGTCAGTCACTGTTGCAGAAGAAGTGGAGGGAGTGTCTGACTGCTCTGGAATTTCCTTTCTGATGGGCTGTCAGTCCACCTGCTAACCTGCCTGTTTAACTATCCAAATGGAGCTGCACTTGTGATCTGATACGCTCAATCTCTATTGCGACGTCTCCGCGCGCGCAGGGCCGTTTCATAACATTTTTGTCGCGCGCTCTGCGATATGGGGACCGTGCTCTCTTTATCACCTTTTGCAACTAAAGGGACCATTCTGCAAGATGTAGGAGACGAAGCCAACGGGAAAATAGAGAAAAGCCTTAAAAAACAGTCAGTGATCGTGTCCACGCTCACATTTAAACGGCTAGTGACTGCATCAGGTAAGAAAAAAAGTGCCAAGAAAGTAAGTCCGAATCCTCTTCCGCTGCCAGCGAGCAGCGACAGTCAGGTCGAGCATCTGAATCAGGAAAACTTCAGGAAATCGCAACAGTCCGAGAAGAAAACGAAAAATGGACCTCTTGCGGTGCCCATCCCCGCGGTTCCTCCCCATCTGGACCAGGATCAGGACCAGTTCACTTCAGCGGCGAAGCAACTGGTGTCGGTTCAGAAGCAGCCCAGCAGCCGGTCGCTCATCTCGCCGAGGCGCGTGATCGTCCAGGCCTCCACAGGGGAGCTGCTCCGTTGCCTGGGCGAATTCCTGTACAAACGATGCTGCAAAGTCAAGGAACTCACCGCAAATGAGGTTATTCTCTGGTTCCGAAACGTGGACAGGACTCTGCTTTTGCAGGGCTGGCAGGACCACGGGTTCATTACGCCTGCCAGCCTCGTGTTCGTCTATCTGCTCATTAGGGAAACTGTAACCGATGATGTTGACAATCCACGTGAACTCCAAGGGACCTTTCTGACCTGCCTCTATCTGGCGTATTCCTACATAGGGAACGAGATCTCGTACCCTCTCAAGCCCTTCATGGTCGACACCAATAAGGACGTGTTCTGGGAACGTTCGTTAGATGTCATCGATAAACTGAGCGGCAAAATGCTGCAGATTAACATTGATCCGCACTTTTTCACAGAGGTTTTCCAAGACTTAAAAAACGAAGGAGATTATAAGAAGGATGGAAGCGAACTGGACCGCTGAGTGTGATCAGAATCTGAGCAGAGATCAATTACTACTGCTTTATTGGATGTAATTGTAATCAGCTCTGCCTGACTGTTGCATTGCACCATGAGCCGATTTATCAATTTAGTATTTATGACACTGTTGTGTTGGCTTTGTTTTAACAGTATTAAGTAGCCCGGTGAAGTGATTTATAATAGCCAACATCGCTTCACCGGTGTAGCTGCAGTTTTATGCATGTCGTATAGATACATCAGTTGCTGTGATTCACAGTCATTCATAAAAAGGGAAGGCACAACGTTTATTAACTGTCAGTCTCATCTGTCATTTCTAAGTTATCTGGGTCTCTATCCTCCTGAGACCTAAAGAAATGTTGTATTTTTTAGGTATGCATTAGATTTGTTTTACATAATGTACGTGATTGGTGTAGCCCAAGCGGCAACCTCCCGCTCTTTCTCGTGAAGCCAACACGGAAGTGACTTAAACTGTAATTCGTCAACTGGCCGCTAGAGGCTGGCTGCAAAAGGGAGTCAATCCCATAGACTCCCCATGTTAAAATGCCCAACTTTACAGCAGAAAAAAACATGTTTACAGCCTGGTTCAAAAAATTTTTTTGGTCTATATAGCTAATTTTGCCCTTCATGACAACTGTGAGGGGGGTGAATTTTTTTAATAACTCATCCGTTTAAATGCCCTTCATGACAACTGTGAGGGGGGTGAATTTTTTTATAAGTCATCCGTTTAAATTATATTAAGCCATACATTTCTGTATAATTAAGGGCGTGGCCACTTGAGTGACAGGTGGATTGCCGCGGCTGACACTGCCGTCGAGCTTGGTGGTCCTGGCTTCAGCAACCAGCTCCCACCTTTTTGCCCATTTTCGATTATCCGGGAGTGACGCGCGGTGACGCGCTGCCAAGATGGCGACGGCCCGCTCCGCCCACTTTGAGCTTCAAAAACGCTCTTCAGAAAACTACGGGTGACGTCACGGACACTAAGTCCATGTTTTTATACAGTCTATGGTGTAGCCCAACAAACTTAGTATTCGTTTAGTTCTAAAAAATCTATACCCTTTATGGAATATTGTATTGGACACATTATTATTAAAAAGTCTGGACATTGCTATATCAAGGCTTGAAAGGTACTGTGGACAAATGACTGGGTCTCAGGAGGATAAAGCTCCATTTGAAGAGATGAATGGAACTATCCAAGGTGCTGACCTGTTTGTGCTCATTTACTCTCTTGACAGACGCCTGTCTCCAGCCATTCTGGATTTGAAACTTGAAAGTGTTTTCTCTTCACTGAGATGTGCCAATTCATGTGTGATCTTACTGTTTTGATTCATTCACATTGGTTTTAGAAAAATGGGCAGATCATACTTGGAGTTCATTTTATACTTCGACGTGATTTTTCAGTGCTCTTGCTTGAATTAAATAAAACCCAGTCTGCCTGGTTTTCTTGATCGATAATGAACGCATCGAGCTCATTAATGCACTGACCACGTGCCATTTGACTGCATATTATGATAAGATTATATAGCATCCATTTAAACTTTGCACTCTAACTTCAGCTGATCTTTGGGACAAGGCATCTAGGCTATCCATCATCTCTACAGTGTTAACTAAAACTCCAAATCTCTTACACGCAGTCACTTTTCTTATACTTTTTCGTATAGGCCTAACTTACACACTATACATTCTTGCGCTCTGTTTATTTTATGTGGGTTTTTTTTTTGTTTGTTTGTTTGTTTTTGCCCTTTTAACACACTATACATTCTTGCGCTCGTTTATTTTATGTGGGTTTTTTTTTTGTTTGTTTGTTTGTTTTTGCCCTTTTAATCGTTTCCCTTTGATTCCTATTGATATCTTTTTTAGAAAAAGGAAGGAAATTAATTTAGCTTAGATTATTATCTATCTATAGTTAATTTACAGATGGATCAATCCTGTTTATGACTTAACTCCAAGTCTTCACTACGTCTTTGTTTTCTGTGGGCTTTTTCATCATCAACCAATCCCGTTCACCTGAAAGCAAGAATGAGCGAGTTGTGAATAAAATACTCGACATGAATGATCTTCGAGTTCATTGGCCGGAATTTGCTGCAGTCTGTGAGAGGGGTTTCTCTTGGTCAGCAGAAGACATGTGAACTCTAGTCTGTCGCTATAGTAACCGCAGTATCGCTCATTCACGGCATGCGGAACCTCGCACGCTTTGTCTTCAAGCCACATGCACACTAGAAATATGTCAAGGATGTTATTTTCTTCTATCTATCTATCTATCTATCTGTCTATATCTGTCTGTCTGTCTGTCTGTCTACATTTAAAAATAGATATTTTGAAGTTGTAAATAAGATTACTGGAGTACTGTTTACAAGAAAATACTATTTCAGTCTTTCAACTTCAAAATTCCATGTTTAAATTCAATGTGTTATACTTGCCAACTCTAAATGAAACAATTGTTACTCAGAAATAGTACATTTCAAAATAATTACAAAGAAACAGCATGAAACATTGAATCAAATATAACATTTTGCAGAAAGACTGAAGTTGTATTTTCTTGTGAAACATACTCCGAATGTTTTATTTACAATATTGAAAAACAATTTCAGATCATTGTTAGTTCTTCTTTAAATTCCAATTTTCAGAATTTCTTAATTAAATTGTTATTTAAAAAAGCCATTCTTTATTCAGTTCTCAGTTGTAGACAACTGATTCATAATATTCAAAAACAATATCAATGACACTATATTGTGTGATTGTTTCTTATTAGTTGCACCTTTGAAGACTCCAGGATCCTTAGTAAACAAGTGATTACCCACAGACCCTAACCAAAGTGCCAAGCACAGGATGATTAGTTCTTTTTTTGTACTTGTTAAAATGGTTCCTTAATCTGTCAGGAGGCTTTCTTCAGTAGTCATCTTGACCTTATGACACTGTGCCCTGGCTATATATACTGTATATAAGAGGTCTTACCTAAGGTTTTCCACTAACTGATCCCAGATTAGTAGAAATAGGTTATATCACGTTGGAAATCAAAGTGTCAGTAGTAATACTCTTTTGGCAGGTCAGTGAATAAACACCTTTACCATGAGCACATTAAGACAAGCTAATGAAAGCACTCCTCTCCAAACAGACAACTTAATTATCTACGGTACACTTTTTTTTTTAAATGAAGAATATACTTATTTTGTTCTAAGGAATAATTCAGCCAAAAAATAAAGTGTGATAATTTACTCACCCTCGTGTTTTTTTTTTTTGTTGTTTTTTTTTGTATCTAAACCAATATGATTTTTTTTCAAAAAAGGAGACATTTTGAAGAATGTCATGCTGCTCTTTATCATCCAATGAAAGCATATAGTGACCAGGGGCTCCAAATAGAATAAAGTGCCATAAATCAGTCCATATGATTCTTGCAGGGATGGAATAACATGAAGGTGAATAAATTATGACAGAAATCCATAATAAAGGCGTGTTTACACAAAGGACGATAAATATATTGTCCGATACAGATATAGTTTTAAAAAATCATTCAATGTAAAAGACAGCAGAGTCCACAACACAACTGTAACAATAACGGAACAGAGTAACAAAATTGTTGGAATTACTTTTGAAATGATTTTTATTTCCCCAGCTGACATAAACATTCAATCAGAATCCACCCTGCTTTAAAGAATTCAAGCATTTAAAGCGACAGACAACAGAAGACTAATAATCAGAACCTTATCATCCGCTGGTGTGGACACTAATATAGTTATTGTTACAGTTACCTTTATATTCATCGCTCTTGGTGTAAATGTCCCATAAAACAGATAACAGGTTTTTAAAAAATGACATTAATAATATAAAATGTTGCAAATGGGATATTCTTTGTCTGAATTTTTTAAGCATTCAGTATGGAATAATGAGCCACAGACGTGATTACACTTTTTTTCCAGTCTCTCTGGGGGAGAGCGAGATGGAGGATGTTGACTACAGTGGGCGTTCCGTGACTGACTTGAATGGATGATACATTCAGTGCCACCCACTGGCTGAGAGTTAGTCACTGGATCACACAGACAGATTCAAAGCAGTACTGCTCATTAAGGTTTCTCTAGGGGGCTACCAGCCAACACTCCTCTCCTGTCACAGAGGGTTGTTTACCAGAAAGACTGCCGTACAATTATTTCAGCAGCCTTTTAGGGGGCTAATAACCATTAACAAGCTTGAATTAGATTGATTGCTCTTCAACTTCCTTTAATGATAGCATTTATCCTTGACCCATCATGACCAGCAAGTGGCACCATGTTTGTAAACACAATTTAACTAAAGCATTGGGTCTTTTTAAATGCCTTAAAGCATTACCAGTGTGTGAGTTAGTTTATAAGGAAGGAATAAAGTACACTTTGTACACTTGTTTAGGGCTGAAGAGATTGGAAATGTTTTCCTCCCACCTGTGTGTTATGCAAAATTCGGTGCATTGGACTTAGCACAGATAACATCCAGATTAACTCTTGTACATTCACCTACTCAATGACACCCTAAAGCTCAGGAGAGCTTATTATAAGAGTGATTTAGCTCAGTGAGTACTGAGGAGACCGACGGAGGGTAGATCTTATACAGTGGGTATAGAAAAGAATCACCCCATTTAAAATAATCACATTTTGTTGCTTTGCAACCTGAAGATGGACACAGTTTTTGTTTTATCCAGCTGTATTGCAACTTATAACGTCCAAGTTAAAGATATTACACCAACATGTCAGAAAAAAAATTATTAAAAAAAATGTAAACTCAATCAGGTGTAGCTAATCACCTTCTCAAGCCATCTGACTTTGAACTGTGATCAGCTGTGGTCATTTTGATCAGCTCAGCATGAAAATAGCTTTCCTGAAGCATTTCAGTCGTTGGTAGTGCAACTGAAGCAAACAATCAACTATGGGTGGCAAGACAGTGTCAAAAGATCTCCAGGATAAAGTTGGGGACAGACACAAATCAGGAGCTGGATACTAAAAAATGTCAAAGGCTTTATCAATGCCTAGAAGCACAGTGAAGTCTGTTGCAGTTCTGCAAAGAAGAGTGGGCAAATATTGCAAAGTCTAGATGTGCAAAGTTAGTAGAGACAGAGACATTTCCCAACAGACTAAAGGCTGTAATTAAAGCAAAAGAAGATGATTCAACAAAATACTGACACAAGGGGGGGATCCTTTTTCCAAATCAGTGATTCTGTTTTTTTTATTAGTTTATTTTATTTATTTTTTTCTGACATGTTGGTGTAACATTTTTCACTTAGATGTTATAAGTTGCACTGAGTAAATACAGCTGGATAAAACAAAAACTGTGTCCATTTTCATTTCAGGCTGCAAAGCAACAAAATATGATTATTGTGAAGGGATGATTCTTTTCAATACCCAATGTATATAGATTAGACTCTCTTTGTTGTTATGGTTTACATTTTCTCTTTCCCTACTTCTCTCAAATAAAAAAGGTTACTATTTTTAATGTAATAATAA